TGGCGGCCAGTGCCGTCTGGCACTTGGAGCCGTCGTTCTCAGATCACCTGTCGGTGGTCTATGAGCTACCTCTTGACACTCCCCAGTTTATGACTATGCCGCCCAGGAGCAAGGTTTGCGATGCATCTTCTGACGACCTTGAGCAGTGGCTCGGTGAGGCTGACTTTGCTCCGTTCCGGTCTGCACTTGCAAAGGGGGATGTCGATGTAAGTTGGCAAGTGCTCTCCAATGTGGCCGAGCAGTGCTTATGTAGCTCACGCCCCGATGATTGCCCCAGAAGCCAGCCTTGGTTGCCTACCACGGCGAAGGTCCACCCTTGCAACAAGGTCGAGGGATCTTCATCGGTGCGTGTTCTTCTCAAGTTACAGCGTCAGCTTTTGCAACTTGCAAGAAAATCGGACCCAGCTTTGTGCCGAAAAATCCTTAAATCCCTACCCCGTGCTCGTGCCATCGTGCCAGACCTTCCTTGGATTCCTGAATGTAATCTTGGGACCCTCCTAGGGCCGGTTGAGGACTTGCTTAGGGTTTATCAGGAACAGGAAACTGCTGCTGCTCGGGCTCGCTGGAAAGAGATGCTGAGGGAGAACAGTGCCCGACAACGGGCCTTTGTCAAGTCCAGAGCAGACGCTCAGCTCGAATGGGAGAAGCGTTGCCCCAACCAAGCCGAGGCAAAGGTTGCAGGACCGGTTCATCCATCCAATGTCGTGCGAACACAGGCCCACGTTTGGCTAGGCAAATGGGAGACCGAACCCAAACCCCACCTTGACGCCATTGCGAAAGTCCTACAGAAGGTGCCGGCTGTTGAGCCCCAACATGCTGAGATCCAGTTTGACCCGGATGCACTCAGGGCCATCGCTGCCTCCTTTTCGAACAAAGCCGCGGGGCCAGACAGCTGGCAAGCAAAGGACCTAGCACGGCTGCCCGCTAGGTGGTGGCAGGCGGTCGCACAGCTATGGCAGCATGTGTGGGAGAGGGGTCAGGTGCCAAGGCTATGGAGGTTCGCCAAGGTCTCCTTGATTCGTAAGCGAGGCGGGCCCAAAACCCGCCCGATTACCCTTACTCAGGTGATTTGGCGAGTTGGGTCCAAACACATTGCGCGTGCTCTTCGTCCCTGGACCCTCAAGTGGGCTTCTTCAAGCGACCACGGTGGCCTTGCGGGCCGATCCACTTCGGATGTTTTGTTCCAGCTTCAGGCCGCCATTCAGCGTGGTGTCAACACCGCTGCATTGATGGATGTTGCTGGGTACTTTGATTCTCTTAACGTGCCGGCCATGGGCCAGGTTTTCAATAGGTTAGGTGCACCACCCCAGTTGTTGCCTCTCCTTAAATCGTTTTACTCCGATGCCAGGCGGTACTTTTGCTTTGAGGGATCGTACGCCCCAGGGGTTCATCAGGTTTGTTCGGGCTTTGGGCAGGGATGCCCTCTTTCACCGTTAGTGGCGGCAGCCTTATCCCACTGCTGGAGTGAGTATGTCAAGGCCTCGTCTGCCAATATTGGTGCTCAAATCTTCATGGACGACCGCACTCTCTGGGTGGAACCTCAGGGATCCATTCAAGACCTTGATGCCGCTTTGCAGGCCAGTGCAGACTTTGATCAGGCTTTCTCGTTGCAGCTCGCGGAGGACAAATGCTTTGTTGCTGCCAAGCATCACAATGAGGCCACCCGCCTCCTTGCGTCCAAGTGGAACTTTCAGACTTGTGGGTCCCTTGAGCTGCTGGGCGTGTCCTTTAATTTTGAGGGGGCAGGGGCTATCCCAAAATTTTCACTTCGCAAGGCGGTTCTCAGATTGCGTTTGCTTCGGTGGACGCAGGCTGCAACCACTTCCCGAATCATGCTTGTGAGGTCGCTTGTCATGCCTTGTTTGGCGTGGGCGGCGGGCTTCGCCAGACCGAGTGACACTGATGTCAAAGCTGTGCAGCACGAAGTCCGCTTCCTGTTCAACTCGGGTTATGGGGGTGATGTTGCCACGGTTGCTTTCTACGAGCTTTTAGGTTGGGGCCTTGAACCTTCTTTCGCCCTTGACTTAGGCCTGTGCCGCCTGTTTTGGCGATGGGTCTCAAAACCTCCCGGTTGGCAGGAGGAAATCCCGATTGGCCACTGCCCGGGGAGCTGGCATGTTCGACTTCCAGAGACTGAACAATTTCTCAGTCGCACTGGCTGGTGGTTTTCTCATGACGCCACTACCTTGTGCAGGAGGGATGCTGCTGGAGCCCTTCGCAAGGTTCACATAGGTCTTGAAAGCTTTCGTATTGTTCAAAATTGGCTTGAGGGGTTTTATCGCCAGCAATACCTTGGCAGATGCAAGCGAGTGTCGCATAACATGCATCGTGTGTTCGAAGATGGTGCGGCCAGAGGTCTCGAGCTTCCGGCTCCACCGAAGGATTTTCGTATCCTTCTGCAGGGCCACAAAAGTGTTTTAGCTGACCGATCTTCGCTTTACAATCGTAGGGCGGCTTTTCTTTCAGGTGGCACCACGTGGCATTTTGAGAAAAGCGTAGGGCCTCGCCGAGACCAACAGCACCACAGGTGCCTTTGCGGGGCACTCCGACCGAGCCGAGCTCATTTGTTATGGGTATGTCCACACACTGACGACCTCAGGAGGGGCATAGAACCTCCCCATCATAGGGGTGAGGAGAGGCTACTGGCCAAGCAGCTTGCAGAGCCTCCGCTTCCACCGCCTGCTGTTGATCCAGCAGGCCTTGTTGAGGAAACGGCGGAGGTCATCCTGCATGAAATGAGTGAATCTGAGTCCATTGCGATTGCGACCGATGGTTCTTCAAAGAACGGGGTGGCGGCACACGCCGTCGTAGTGCACCGGTGCACAAACACTTTCGCCGGCGGTGACAGTTGCGAAGACCAGTCATCGTTTCGGGCAGAGCTACACGCTTTGCTTCTTGCCCTTACAGCTGTGAGTGTGGCCGCCTCGCGAGGAGCCAAGGGCAGCATCACCATCGCTGTCGACTGTTCGGCTGCCCTTCAGGCTCGCTTCTGTTGTCCGTCACTTCCGTTGTTTACCTCTCGTTTCCAGCAGCTTGCTGCCGAGATCCGAGGCTATGCAATCAACCTTCGCTTCATGTGGGTTCCGGCACACAACCGCAAAGCGGCCTGGGCTCCTTCTAACTCTCCGTTCAGCGCTTCATTCTTGCGATCCTTGAACGATGCTGCTGATCGTGCCGCCAAGGACTGTGTTTCAAGACGACTCAAGGGGTCACTCAGGGAAAAGTGGGTAGCTGAAGCTGCTCGTGCAAAGGCTTGGGAGGTTGCTGCAGTCACTGCTTCGGCTAAGGCTGCTGAGCGGCTCCACTGCTTCCTTGAAAGTCTTCCCCCGAGCCGGCACCGCAGACACTTGCGATGCCAGCTCTCCCCCGGGAGCTGGCATTTAGTGCTAGGGTTTAGGCCCGGTTTCCCAACCCTCTCGCGTGCTGGCACTTCAGTGCCTGGGCTGCTGTGGGCTGCTTGCTTCTGGGCTGCCTGGGCGCTGGGGTGCTCTTCGCTGCTGACTGCTGACTGCGGGCCCAGGGGACTTGCCTGGTCTCGCCACTCTGAACCGCCTCTCTGCTGGGGGTACCACTTCCGCCGCTACTCGGCTCTCGTTCGACGGTGAGCTGCTGCTGCCTACTAGTCCGGCCCTGGCTTCGGCTGTCACTGCGTAACAGTGGTGCTCCTGGCACTGCTGTGGTGCTGCTGCGGACGGCTGCTGGGCGGCTGGTGGCGCTGGCTGCTCGTGCTGCCGCGACGAGGTGAACTGAGTTCCAACACCTTCGTCAACTGAGCTACTTGTACAGTCTTGTAGGAGTAGGCCTCTTCGTTGCCTCGCTGTAGTCAACTGAAGCTGTAGTAGGGTCTTCATGCTCTCATGAGGACTCGCCTTTTGTAAACAGTCTGAGCTGCTGCTCACCTTCAGTGTGCATAGAGTTCCCCCTGTACACCTCGAACTACTGTGCCACTTGTTTGAAAGTTGTGAGCTCTCGATGCTGCCTGCAAGTGCAGCACAAAGGAGCGTTTCTCACTCGAGTGCCGAAGTCTTTCACGTCGGACACAGGGAACCGTGCGAGCCGGCATCTTGTACAGCTGTGTGTGAAACTTGTTTCTCGTGCAGTACAGTGCTTGAGTGACATGTTTCCTGAAGTCGACCGCTTGACACGTCGTTTGCACTTGTGCGAGCGGCGCGAGAACCCAACAAGCAAAAAAGAGGCACTTGTGAAGAAGGCTATGACGACCAAGTATCCCTCCATGCTAGTTTTATAATGGAGATAGCAGAAGAGCTATCCCAGAAAAACTGTGAGCTACAGCTCCAGTGGATACGGAGAGACATCAACCAGCTAGCGGATGACCTCACAAACGAGGAGTTCAAGGAATTCGATCCCTCTCAGAGGATAGATCTGAAAGGAGAGGAATTCCAGTGGCGTGTCCTGGGCCGGCTACTCGCGCATGCAGATAGCTTCTACCAGGAGCTAGGCTCTCCGCTTGACGGCCCTCAGGGTCCGCTCCAGGCTCTTCTCCATGAGCGTCATGGCGTCGGGCAACTGGGGACACCAGTCCCAGGGGGTGTCGCCCAAGGTCATGCAGAGCCTCCGCTTTCAGGCCGCGGGAGGGTGCTGACCGGCAGTGTGGAGGTTGCGCTCGAGCTTGGAGGCCCGCCGCGCACCTCCATCATCGCCCAGCACTGGGCGGCCCTTGGCAAGGTCCTGTGCGCGCTGCCGGACCGCGAGCAGCTGGAGCGCACGTGGCACTCCTTCTGGGCGCAGCCAGCGGAAGGACCCGATGGAAGGTCATATGTGGGCCGGTGGGCGCCATGATCGGCTACCTGGTGGAGTGTCCCGCCCATCAAGGCGTGCCTTCTTGCCTTGGCCGACAGAAGGCGGCACGAGGCCATCAGCAGGCAGACTGGCTGCGAAGCGCTTGACCGGGGATTGACCTCACTATTCCGCGCCAGCTGGCCAAAGGCAGGACAAGCAACGCCCGCGCCGGCGCCCTGCGGATGGTGCACCAAGGTGCCATGCGTTCCCGGCTGATTCGGCCTGGGGAGCAGTGCCCTCTGTGCAGGGTCGAGCTTACTCCCCTGCGCATGGCTCAGGAGTGCTTGTGGTGGAAGGGCCGCTCTGGAGGAAGCAGGTGAACGACGCGGCCGATCACCTCGGCAAGCGGCGGCCCGGGCCACGGCCCAAGCGGGACGGTGGTGCCCGGACGAGATCGATGACCTCGTTCGCGAGGTGACGCTCTTCCTGCAGCACCGGGCATCCGTGTTGCTGGTCTCCCAAGAGCAACCACCTTGGGACCTTACCTCGGAGGGGAAGGCAAAACGCAGGAAGGGGAAGAAACATACCCCCAAGGTGGCGGATGAGCCTGCGGCCACCGAGCCACGGCCCCCTCACCGTCGGCACAGGCCGGCAGCAGGTGAGAACAAACGCCAAAGGATCGAGGCCCTCATCAGAGAGAGCGCACCGGAGGGCACATGTGGGAGGCCCACCCCACAACCATCGCCTCCGCGGCATACTCGGTGTGCGGGCTGTACGTAAAGCAGCTCATTAGCCGCCCACCAGTGTAGGCACAGGGAGACCCCTACTATTCCAGCGGAGCTGGAAGTGCACGGGTCACATGACATGCACAACCTCGGCGATGTGCAAAAAGTGTGGAGCGCAGCTTAGGCCGGGGCACTCTAAGGTCACGATGACCCTCTCTAACCAGTGCGCGCCTACCCGCCTAAAGAAAGGGCAGATTGCCGCGAGTATGCTTAGCTCCTCACTCCCACGTTGGCTCCCACCCGAAATCGAGCCCCGCAGTTGACAGGAAAAGAGCCAAAGCCCCAAGCGAAGCCCGAAGCCCAACCTAAGCTCCGGCAGCTGTTTCAGGCTCGAAGCTCGAAACCGGGACACACCCAAAGCACGTCCGCCCGAAGCCCAAGCGAGCCCTCAGGAAACTCTGCCCAGGACTTCCCCTCAGACCCACCACCCTAAGCCGGGAAGAAGGTCCCGAGACCAAGGGCCAGCCGGAGGCTGGCAAAGGCAAGGGCCAAGGAGGAGGAGGCCGAGGAAAAGGGAAAGGAGGAGCTGAAGCTGAGCCCCTCATGACCAGGCCCAGGGCCGGGGAAGGAGGCGGCCAACCCGAACTGCAGCAGGGTCAGCAGGTCTTCATGGGCAAGAAACCTCCGCCCAAAGGCACCAGGAGGCTGCCGGAGCCGTCCGCGGCCTCCTCAGCCGCTAGTGGGAGAGTTCCCCCACCCCCTCCACAGCCTCGGAGGGAGACGGGCCAAGCTGGCCCAACGAGCCGAGGCCACAAGACATAAGTGCCCGATTCCGCCACCGGGGCAAAGGGGAGAGGGCACAACCGAGGGCAAGCAGAGCCCGTCGTCCTTGAGGCCGAGCCGGAGGAGGGGGACACAAAGACCAAGGAAGAGGAGGAGGAGGATGAGACACTCTCCTCGAAGAGCTCCGAAGGCACGGAGCCTGAGGAAGAAGTGCCAGCAGCAGCGGTGACGCCTTGGGAGCGCCGCGCGGCCACGGGTGACGAGACATCCCCGGCGGAGCCACCTCAGCCAGAGCCGTCGGCCACTACTCGACCCCGTCAGGGGGCGAGGGTCAGCCGATGCAACCAGCTCCCCTCCAGCTGAGGACTGCACGGCTGAGGGCGAACCTCCGGAGGGCACACCGCCACAAGAGCCTCCAGCTGAACGGCCATCCGAGGGCTGCGCCAGAACCGCAGCCGAGCCATCGGCACCAGCTGCCGATACCCCTCCGCGGAGGGAGGCTGCCAGCCCAGCAGGTGGTGTGGACCCGCCACCCAATCCGTTCCCTCCTGCGGAATGGATCTACCGTATCGATACGGAATGCCGCTCCGGCAGCCATTTGCAGGTCATTCGCCTTCCTGTGCCAGGACATTCGACGGCAGCGGATGTCTTGGAAAGGCTGCATATGCGCACCGGGTTCAGCTTAGGAGCACTCCGGCTCACGAGGGAGTCGGAACCGCTGCCGCTCCATGAACTCCTTTGCGTAAGGGTGCCGGCCGGTACAGCCAAGCTGTACGCCAGCACGGCCGAAGGGGTCACACTGAGGCAGGACAGCGAGCCTCCAGTGGTAACCACGGACATGCTCTGGTGTATAGCATGCCGTGTCCGGGTGCCCACCCCGGAACACATGCAGGGCACCTCATGACTGCATCCCACGTGATTGCAGTCTCGGAATACCTCGCCTCTTTCCTCTCAGGACGTGTTCACACTCCTGACCCCTGCAAGAGGACGTGTTCGCACTCCTCGATGTGCAGCCCTGTCAGTTTTGCCGTAGAGCCGTAGTTCAGGGCGGGGACGTGTTACACTCCCCAGGACGTGCTTGCACTCCTTAGCACATCCGGGAAGAGCTCGCTCTCCCGTAGGGCGTAGCTCCTTTTTCCGCCTGAGGGCGATGCCCACTCCAAACGGGGTGGGGGTGGAAGATCGTGGGAAACCCACGGTAATTAGCTGCACGCCGGACGAGGCCCACGGGCCACGGACTCTTCGCCGCTTCGAGGAAAGGAAAAGGAAAGGAATCCCAGTTTTAGCTTTCTCTCTGAGCCATAGCGCCCCTGACTTGGGTGTGGCTCCCACCCCTTGCTTTTCGCGTGGCCGTAGTGGATCGGGCTCGCCCTCCACCAGGACCGGCCTGAAGACAGCAAGGAAGTGGGCTATCACTCCTTCACAGGTGCGCTTCTGGGACGTGACTGCCACTCCCAAGCGCCGTGAGCCGCATCTGTCCTTCTGCCGTGCAGGGTTTAGGGCTCTTTAAGGTTGCAGACCCTTTTCGTCCCCTTCTTTGGTGCCTGAGGGCCTGGAGGCCGCGCCCCTCCCTTTCAGCTGCTCGGACACGTAGTGGGCAAGGAAGGGCGTTTTGCACGACCCTGCCCCTGACAGGAGGAGCCGGTACAGACGAGTGCTTCGAAGCCCACACTGCTTCTGTGCACTGCTTAAGGGCTCGGGCGCTGCCTGCGGCAGTCGCTGCCCTCTGCCCGCCCTTTTAGGGTCCCAGCACGTGCGCAGTCTCACACCGGTTTTCTTTGGTTCTGTTTCAGTTTTTTCTCCTCGGCCGCCCTGGCAATGAGGATTGAGTTACGGCAAGGAGGAACCCCTCCTCAGGCACTTTCGAGGTCTATCTGCCTATCCCTTAGGCGATGGCCTTTAGGAGGGTTCTTTGTTAATACGCCTAGGTCTGTGTGTGTGTGCTCCCCCTGCAGTCCCTTTATGGCGTCACCGCCCTGTGTCCTGCCTACGACACACCGCGGCGATGAAGCTACTGCTGCTATCCAGGCTATTAGGGACGTGTTGCCTCCCACTCCCTGGCCTCCTTCTGGAGGTTGGCGTTTTCTTCGGCAGTTAGCTTTTGTACAGCGCTCCCTGGTGCTTTGCACTGCACTGTGCTCGGTATCAGGGATGTCCGCCTGGTTGACCTCTTTAGACTCCGCAGGCCCCCTGGCCCAATGCAGCCCTAATTCGTCTGCAGGCACGTGGGCCCCGCGCCACCTGTTAGGAAGATGAGGGGCAGCGTCGTCCCTGCGCCTTGTTGAGGGGAAGCGTTGGCCCTGCGCTGTGTTGAAGGGCGTGGGCGGTTAGGGTTGCTTTCGGGTTAGGACCTGTTGCTCCGATGGGGGCTCTGCCGGACGCCACGACACGTGGCTTTTAGTTGAGGGAGGCCTCCCCTCCGGGGTACGGTGTGCCCGGCGTCGCTCTCGTGTTGTGTCTGTTTTCCCGTGGTGGTTTACGCCTGTCAGGGTTACTCCGCGGGCGCCTGTACCGGCCGCCTCCTTAACGTCAGGGCTAGCCTGTTGCGGCACTGCCCTTCCTCGAGGCGTGTGGCGTGGGGACACCGGTGCGTAGCGGTGGTTAAGAGATTCGCTCCGGCGGGTCTCGACCACTTCATCCTCCAGCTTTGCTCGGAGAGCTTCTGGTTGGTTGTCTTTCACCCGGTTCTTCTCAGCTCAGCACGAGTTTCGGCTCAGGTACTTTTCCCTGCTCAGTAAGAGCGAGAACACGGGAGCCTCCTGTTCTGCTCTGCAGGGGACGGCCTCTCTCCTTGGGACGTGTAGCACTCCCGGTGAGGACGTGTCTCACTCCTCTGATGTGCAGCTCTGCGGGACGGGACGCTCCCTCCCGTAGGCTCCGTAGTGCAGAGCAGGGACGCGTTACGCTCCCTTAGGACTGTTCGCACTCCTTAGCACATCTGGGACGAGGTTACTCTCCCGTAGGACTTAGCTTCCTTTTTCCGCCTGCGGGCGATGCCCGCTCCTACCGGGGCGGAAGACCATGGAAAACCCATGGTAACTAAGTGCACGTCGAGGGCCTACGGGCCGCGGACTCCTCGCCGCCTCTAGAAGAAAGGAAAAGGAATGGCTCAAGTCTCGGCTCAAGCTAGCTCTAGTGCCACACTTCGTGGCCGTAGAGAGTTGCGTGTTTTAACTAACGGGCTTGGGGCTCTCAACTTGCTTTTCGACGAGGTTCAAGGCCCCCACAATCCCAGTTTTTTGCCTTCTCTCTGAGCCATAGCGCCCCTGACTTGGGTGTGGCTCCCACCCCTTGCTTTTCGCGCGGCCGTAGTGGATCGGGCTCGCCCTCCACCAGGACCGGCCTGAAGACAGCAAGGAAGTGGGCTATCACTCCTTCACAGGTGCGCTTCTGGGACGTGACTGCCACTCCCAAGCGCCGTGAGCCGCATTTGTCCTTCTGCCGTGCAGGGTTTAGGGCTCTTTAAGGTTGCAGACCCTTTTCGTCCCCTTCCTGGACAGTAGCTGGTGGTGCTGAGGGCCTGGAGGCCGCGCCCCTCCCTTTCAGCTGCTCGGACACGTAGTGGGCAAGGAAGGGCGTTTTGCACGACCCTGCCCTGCGAAACTGACAGGAGGAGCCGGTACAGACGAGTGCTTCGAAGCCCACACTGCTTCTGTGCACTGCTTAAGGGCTCGGGCGCTGCCTGCGGCAGTCGCTGCCCTCTGGGTCCCAGCACGTGCGCAGTCTCACACCGGTTTTCTTTTGTTCTGTTTCAGTTCTTTCTCCTCGGCCGCCCTGGCAATGAGGATTGAGTTACGGCAAGGAGGAACCCCTCCTCAGGCACTTTCGAGGTCTATCTGCCTATCCCTTAGGCGATGGCCTTTAGGAGGGTTCTTTGTTAATACGCCTAGGTCTGTGTGGGTGTGTCCCCCCTGCAGTCCCTTTATGGCGTCACCGCCCTGTGTCTTGCCTACGACACACCGCGGCGATGAAGCTACTGCTGCTATCCAGGCTATTAGGGACGTGTTGCCTCCCACTCCCTGGCCTCCTTCTGGAGGTTGGCGTTTTCTTCGGCAGTTAGCTTTTGTACAGCGCTCCCTGGTGCTTTGCACTGCACTGTGCTCGGTATCGGGCATGTCCGCCTGGTTGACCTCTTTAGGCTCCGCAGGCCCCCTGGCCCAATGCAGGCACGTGGGCCGCGCCACCTGTTATACTAAGATGAGGGGCAGCGTCTTCCCTGCGCCTTGTTGAAGGGAAGCGTTGGCCCTGCGCTTTGTTGAAGGGCGTGGGCGGTTAGAGTTGCTTTCGGGTTAGGACCTGTTGCTCCGATGGGGGCTCTGCCGGACGCCACGACACGTGGCTTTTAGTTGAGGGAGGCCTCCCCTCCGGGGTACGGTGTGCCCGGCGTCGCTCTCGTGTTGTGTCTGTTTTCCCGTGGTGGTTTACGCCTGTCAGGGTTACTCCGCGGGCGCCTGTGCCGGCCGCCTCCTTAACGTCAGGGCTAGCCTGTTGCGGCACTGCCCTTCCTCGAGGCGTGTGGCGTGGGGACACCGGTGCGTAGCGGTGGTTAAGAGATTCGCTCCGGCGGGTCTCGACCACTTCATCCTCCAGCTTTGCTCGGAGAGCTTCTGGTTGGTTGTCTTTCACGCGGTTCTTCTCAGCTCAGCACGAGTTTCGGCTCAGGTACTTTTCCCTGCTCCGTAAGAGCGAGAACACGGGAGCCTCCTGTTCTGCTCTGCAGGGGACGGCCTCTCTCCTTGCGATGTGTAGCACTCCCGGTGAGGACGTGTCTCACTCCTCTGATGTGCAGCTCTGCGGGACGGGACGCTCCCTCCCGTAGGCTCCGTAGTGCAGAGCAGGGACGCGTTACGCTCCCTTAGGACTGTTCGCACTCCTTAGCACATCTGGGACGAGGTTACTCTTCCGTAGGACTTAGCTTCCTTTTTCCGCCTGCGGGCGATGCCCGCTCCTACCGGGGCGGTGCACGTCGAGGGCCTACGGGCCGCGGACTCCTCGCCGCCACTAGAAGAAAGGAAAAGGAAGAGGTTTTGGAAAAGGAAAAGGATTTGGAAAGAAAGGTGGAAAGAGTATAAGGCAGGCCGAAGGAAAAGGCTACGAGAGTGACAAAGGAAAAGGCAAAGGTGGACAAAATGGACCTGTGTGTTTCAATTGTGGTAAGACCGGACATTACTCTTCGGAGTGTTGGTCGGCACCAAAGGGAAAAGGAAAAGGAGGAAAAGGAAAAGTTCGGAATGTCCAAGAGACAGGTGAGGAAGAATGGTATGAAGAGCAACCTAGTTCTTCTACACAAGCACAAGCAAGGCCAGCACAAGGAGCCGAAGGAAACGAGCAAGTGCGTAGGTTGGTGACAACGCCTATGCCAGTGATTGAAGAAGTGTTCGAAGAAGATGATGACTACATTGATCTTGTAGGAATGTTTGAAGAGATGGTGATGGATTATGCTGCACGAGCAGTAAAAGCCAACACAGTCGTGCTATGGTCAAGCATGGTTGACGAAAGTGATGAAGAAGATTATGAAAGGGATGAACTTCACAAGTGGTATGAAGATCTACAAGTGGACAAGAAGAATGCCAAGAGTGCAAGAGAGTGAGAAAGGCTTTTCGGAAGTGTTCAAGATGAAGAGCCAGAAGTGCATCGAGTAAGAGCCGTTAGCTCAAGCTACTCAGAACTCGTTGAAGTCGTGCTAGATAGTGGCGCGGATTGTCATGTACTTCCGCTATGCTACTACAGTGAAGACTTAGGAACAGTTGAGTTCCCAGCTTTGAGAATGGTTATTCAAGATGCCCAAGGCAACAGGATAAGAACCACTGAGACAAGAGCGAATATCACATTCGAATTTCAAAGGACAGATGGAAGAGTGATAAAGGTGAGAGATTCAGCTGTGTTCGGAGATGTAACACAACC